TCTCGAGATTTCGAGGAATTTAGGCGACGCTCTGGGTGCGCTAATATTAGAGAAAATACGGTAATATGAAAACGTCTCAAAATCACTCTCTAAAGGTCATTCTCTACTCATTCTAGGCAAGAAGTTGGCTGTAGATTTCAACGATGACATTTATCACCAGTTTTTCTATCAAATCGCAACACTGACCACTGTTTTCATCCTTTTCACATTGTTCAATAGTTTGTATTTTATTAGCTCCTATATTATTTCAGGTTAGGCTAGTAGATCAGACTTATCTATTTTCCTAATATTTCCCGCTGAATCGAGTTGGTGACAATTTTACAGTTTCCAAGTTTCCCCAGAAGCTCAACACTCAAATCCCCCACTAGATCTCATCGTCAGTATTGAATAGATCAACATTTTGCATTTTCTATCATTAAAAACTGAGAGCAATTTGAGAAATGATCTCTTCATTACATTGACTTCTACTTAATAAAGTAAAGAAATGAATGGCATAGAATTTTTCGAGAAGACGTGCGATTTGTTTTCGATTTTTTTGTTTAATAGAATCAATTGTTCATGATCAAAAATGAAGATTTCCAAAGAAAATAACTCATTTTCCTTACAAATTCCATTACAAATTTCCTTTCAATAGCAAATTTATAATAAAAAGCATGTGTTTTATGAAGAAATCAATCAACTTCAAGTCAAAGCCTTCAGGTCAAAGCTTTCTGTTTACCGTAAACAGAAGGCTGTAAGGCTCTTCTGTTTACGGTAAACAGAAGGCTGTAAGACCAATTTTTCAAAGCCTACTTGATATAAAGTGAAAACTCATTTCAGTCAGTTTCCATTCTTTCGTAAGCCCAAAGAACTCAAGTTCACCGATTTTCGTAAGCCCAAAGAACTCAAGTTCACCGTTTCTTCAAAGTCTTGTCGCCATTTTTTTTCCAATCAAATTTATCAATCCGAAATCTCTTTAAATCCCCTTTATTTACCGCTAGTCGAAAGAATTTTTCCGTTTTTAGAATCGGAATAGAAGCTGATGGAAAAGTGGAGAGTTTAGGTGACAAAAAGGATAAGAGTTTTGTGTTGAGGTAATGGAAACTGTCATCTCCGGCGATCATTCATTTCCCAGAGTCTATTTTCCGCAATTATATTTTTTACAATCATCTATGCATCGATTGTATGCAAATTCTCTCGAATCCTATCAGATCAAAGTTTTGAATCAGTCAGTATTGATTGATTGATTGAAAAGTCAAAAATTTCTGCAAAAAGCTTGTAAATTTGATGACGTCCACGTTTGGGGTTACGTTTTTCAAAAGATTTCTAAAAAATTTTGTCAAGCTTACAATTTTTTTGACGTTTTTTGCTTATCAGACTGTTTCACAAGCTTTTTCCATTTCTTTTTCTTTTCTTTTCTTTCTTTCTTTTCTTTCTTTCTTTCTTTTCTTTCTTTTCTTTCTTCTCTTTCTTTTCCTTTCTTCTTCTCTTTCTTTTCCTTTCTTCTCTTTCTTCCTTTTCTTCTTCCTTCTCTTTTCCTTTTCTTCTCTTCTTCCTTTCCTTTTCTTTTCCTTTCTTCTTTTCCTTTTCCTTTTTCTGTTACAGTATTATTTCTATTGAACACAAGAGTGCTACATCCGGCTCGACAATCTTTGCTCAAATTCTCCTAAATTTCTTGAAAGATTTTGTAAATGGATTTATTTTTAAACGTTTAAAAGCGAATTTTTTCTGATTAGAGCAATCTTTGGGTTAACTTTTGAAAAGATTTGAAATCAATTTGAACCAAATTAGATTAAATTGGATTAAATTGGATGAAATTGAATCAAATTAGCTTAAATTGGATTAAATTGGCTCAAATTGGCTCAAATTGGCTCAGATTGCCTCAATTTAGATCGAATTAGCTCAACAAACACCCTCAAATTCTTCATTCATTGTGTTTTATGATAGTGAAAGTGTAAATACGGTAAAAAAAAACTCGAATAGACGGCCATTTTCTATTTTGACGGTCACTCTCCAATAGAAGGCCACTCTCTAGTTGACGGCCACCCCCCCCCCCCTTTCCTTGCTTTTCTTTCCTCACTCATGTCTCTTTACATTATTCTGTCCAAATTCTTGCAGAACTTCCAGTCTGAACTTTCATTCTTCATTCTTCATTCTTCAAACTTCAAACTTCGAATCTCAATTCTGAAATTTCAGTCTCACAAAATGCGTCGTGGTGTCTGCGGTGGTGCCTCTGCACCGCATCCTCATCCCTCTCTTCCTCTACATTCACCGATTCCTTCCGGTTTCCCATCATTTCCCAATGGTCTTCCCTGGAGTCCTACCGGAAATCTCCATGTACAATCACCCTTTATTCTACAGCCTCCAATCCTCCCGCCAATCTTATCAGGTAGTTTTTTTTGTTACAACTATTTTGTTGACTTAAATCGAAATACTAGATTTAGAAGGAAGATTTAAAAAACTGAAATTCCATTGGAAAATTGGATTATCTTTGAAGTTGAATTAAAGAACTACCGTAAAGATTCTAATAGAAAAGCCGGCTCTTCTATTAGAAGCTCTTCTCGCCGGCTCTTCTATTTTTCAATGTCTCTCTAAAATTCTTTTTCGTGCTCTAGTTAGAGTCTACCCAAATTTTCAAGAGCTCAAAATGGGTTTTTTTTGTTTGATTTTCATCCGGTTTTTAACGTCATTAAGCTTTTTTTTAGTCTATAACTATTATTTAAAGCCTTGGGAAGTCTTGCTAAGCTGGAGGCTTAAAAGCTAGCTTTGCTGAAAGCTGAAAGCTTTAAACTTCAGCATTTTGCTATCCCAGAGTTGACAAATCCGAAAAAATGAAAAATTTCGTTTAAAAGGTTGCTCTATTGGTCGTTCTATTGGTGTGGGCTTTTCAATTGGGTAATTTAGCTTAAATTATAATTCAATACGGTAATTTAGCTTCTATTCCAGCATGCTTTAATGCTATAGAAATCAGAAAATGTTTTAGAAATCGGAAAATTTAGATTATCTCGTTAAAACCAGCACTTGACCAATTTACAATAGCTTTCCTCTTGCCATTCATTATTTAGCCATTCATTAACTCTTACCATTCACTATTTAGCTTACTAAATTGCCAAGTACCCTGCTTTTGAGTCAACCCACCATCACAAAAGCTTACCTTTCTTTTGAGTTACTTTTGCCATTCACTATTTAGCTTACTAAATTGTCAAGTACTTTGAATAACTTTTCTCCAAAGATCCTCATCATTTAAGGCCTTTTTGCTGAAGAATAAAGCACGTTTTGATGATTTTTATGCAATAAAAGTTGACAATCAAAGTCAAAGTTGACACGATCGAATAGAACATTGATTTTTAAAGATTTCAAAACGATTTCAAAACGATTTCAAAACGATTTCCTTTCCAATTAACTCAAAAAACGTTTTGTATTGTTTTTAAATTTTGTCTTTTAACTTTCTCTGACTTAATGTTTCCAAAAATTCGACAATAATCTTATTTTGAAATGATGTTTTCTTGAAAAATGAAAAGGAAACGAATTTTTTCGATTTGTTTTTCACGCTACCGTATGCCTTAGGGGTTTAGGAAAGGGGAAAAAGGACAAAAAGGGGGAAGAAGGACCCCGAAAAAGTGGAATTGATGGAGGAAAAGAGGGGAAAAGATCAACAAAGAGATAGACTCTAAAATAAAAAAAATGGAAAACCTTTTAGTGGGAAAGATTTTGATTTACCAACGATGAGACATTTGGCACATTGGGGAATGGACTGAGCCTGGAAATGGACTGACCTTTCGGCTTTTTCGTTTTGAAGTTTTTTTGATTGGTTGATTGAAGAGTTTTTCTACGATTTAATTTAATAAAGGGACCAAGGTCATGCTTGCTTTTCATTGCATTTTCTTTGAAAATGTTTCTCATTCTCTTTAAGTTTGATTTTTCATTCATTTTGATCCATTTTGATCCATTTTGATCCATTTTGATCCATTTTGATCCATTTTGATCCATTTCCACTCATTTTGATTCATTTTGATCCATTTTGATCCATTTTGATCCATTTTGATCCATTTTGATCCACTTTCACTCATTTTCACTCATTCTCATTCATCTTCAAGGCATAGTTTATAGCTAGAGATAAAGTAAGCTCTCATATCTCTACAGAAAAACTTTGAATATCTTCCCTTGATCTTGCCAGATCAAGCTGATCAATTATGAAGGACCATTTGATTTCTTTACAGTAAGAGCTCAGAGTCAGTTGAATATATTTTCAACTCGTCAAACATAGCAAAAACATTCAAGCTTGATAGCATCAATGTGTTTTTTAGTTCAAAATACTGTCAGCAGTTGGAGCTCTTGAAATTTCTTCGCACTGAACAGTCAATCGTCTTCTTAAAAACCTTTTTCTCGTAAAACTTTCAATCAAAACTTTCAATCGAAACTTTACAAGGGTATCCGATTGTTTTGACAACGGAACCATCCACCGTAAATACTGTAATAGTACCCCACCTGCATAATGACGGTGCGGAGTGTTGCGTAGTCTAGCTTTGAACGAGTTTTTCTCGACACTGGTTTAAGCTACAAGGCGCGCAAAGGTATCAAAAAATAGCCCTGAATTTCAGCTATTTTTTGATACCAAAGCGCACATTATAACATAAACCAGTGTCGAGAAAAACTGGTTCAAAGCTAGAACGGTGCGGAGCCTTGCGTAGTCTAGCTTTGAACGAGTTTTTCTCGATACTGGTTTAAGCTACAATGCTCGTTTAGGTGTCAAAAAATAGCCCTGAATTTCAGCTATTTTTTGATACCAAAGACGCTTTTTTTGAAAGTACGGGCGCTTTGAAAAAAATGAAATACGAAAAAACTTTTGCGACTACGCGACTGTACGAGGGGGGTGAGGTACTATTACAGTATTTACGGTATGTAAATCTTAATCAATTATTGCAAAACAGCAATGCAAAATCTAGTCACTTTAGTGACCGATTTATAGCTATTTAGTTATCGCATAGTTATTTAGTCAGTTATTGAATTTAGTCGAACTGATGCAACAGATGATGGCTCATTCTCAGCAGGGACTTCCACACGAATCCCTAGGATTCAGCTCCGAGTTTTCACAGAGTGAGTTTGTTTTCAAATTTTGAGCTAAAATCTTAGCTCAGCTTTTGAGCTAAGCTAAAATCGAATAAAGTAAAACGTAATCCCATTTAGCATCGCCGATGCAACAAATGCAGCATTTGCTGTCAATGTTGGCTAATGCTATGTCGGCGAATGGGGTGAATCCGATGAGTCTCGTGCAACAATGTTTAAACTCTGGTAAGTGATTGGTCTCGAAATTGTCTCAAAATGCAAAATTCTTGTGAAACTTCGCTGGGTTAGAAAGATTTTCATAGAAAAAACAAGAATATTGATGTTATAGCTCAAGATTTGGCTCCTGATTGTTAACGGTTTACGAGTTAGAGTTAGCGTTAACGGTACACGTGACTTTTGTGGGCTTAAAAGAAAAATTTGCAACAGAAGACACAAATTTGCGTGCAGAAGACACAAATTTGCATGCAGAAGGCACAAATTTGTATGCAGAAGACACAAATTTGCGTGTTTTTAGCTATTGAATTGTAGAGAATACTAGGTTGGTGCAAATGAAATTTCGTTTTTTTACAAACATTAAAGTTTTTTTGATAACAATTTATTTAAAACAATAAGCACCATTATTATCTATGACATCCCTCCAACGTTGCTTCAGATTGCGGATCCCCTTCTCAAAGAACGCTTGATTCTGTGATGCAAAGTAGTTGGTCACCCAATTTTCGACTTCTTTTGCATTCTTAAACTGGCAGTTCTCAAGGGAATGTTGCATCGATCTGAAAAGGTGAAAATCGGAGGGTGCTAAGTCTGGACTATACGGCGCATGTGGTAAGACCTTCCATCCTAGCTTCTCTAGTTCCTTACAAGAGGTTTTTGCCGTGTGAGCTGGAGCATTATCACGGAGAAAGTTGATAGTTGAGGGATTTAGGCCTTTTTCACGCAAAATTTCGTCCACCTTCTTGAGTTGTTGAATAAAATAAGATGAATCGACTGTTTTTCCGGGCTCTAATAATTCAAAATGACCAAGTCCATTGATATTCCACCAGCAAGACAACATCACTTTGCGCCCATGATAATCCGGCTTTGGAGTTGGAATTGGCGCTTGACCTTTGCTCAGCCATTGTCTTTTTCGAGAAGTATTATCAAAGTGAATCCACTTCTCATCCATCGTCAAGATATTCTCAAAAAAAATGGCTTCTTTTCGACTTCTGGAGCAAGATATGGCTGATCGGAACGCGGGCTCCCAGATTCTCAACACTCAATTGATGTGGAACCCATTGTCCATTACGATTTGTCTTTCCAATTATTTCCAAATGGCGTACAATTGTTGAATGATCACATTGGAGATGTTTGGCAAGTTCTCGTGTTGTTTGCATTGGATCAGCTTCAATTAATTGTTCCAATTCATTGTTGTCGATGGCTGTGGCACGATGTCCATGCGATTCGTCTTCAAGGGATTCATTACCATCTCGGAATTGGGCAAACCAGAGCTGGCATGATCTTTCGGTGATAACCTGTTCTCCAAAGGCGGAACAGAGATCACGATGTGAATCAGCAGCGTTTTTGCCCATTTTGAAGTCATAGAGAAGACACGTGCGCAGAACATACTTTTGATCTACCATGATCTAAAGCAAAAATCAATTAAAAAGTGAAAGCTCTGACTTTGAAAAAATGCGAAAATAAAGTAAATATCCAAGAGTACAAATGCACAAAAGAACATCAAATAAGCTCTTCAGATTAAAAAAATAAGAACATTTTATATCGACCGAAATTTCTTTTGCACCAACCTAATAGCTATTGAATTGTAGAGAATTTGGAGCCTTTATAACGGCTCTCTGAAATGCCGCCAAGGTAGCTGAATGGTGCAGTGGATAAGACGCAGCAAAGTCACAAGTACGTTATCGCCTAAATTTGACTCTGACGAGCCGAAGAACTTATGCAAATTCATGCTTTTTTCGGCCAGAAGAGTCACATTTAACGAGTTTCATAAAACGAGATTCATAAAAAGAGCAACTAGTCACAGAAATCCTATCATTTTAAAGAAATCCATAGAAATCCCAGCTATAGAAGTCCCAACCTTTCAAATAGTTTTAAAGCCAGATAAAATTCAGGTGTTAGAACATCAAAACACAAAAAAAGTTTGCCAAAAGGAATCGAACTCGAGCAAAAGACCTGGCGCTCATTTTGTATCCAAGCGTCTTATCCACTACACCATCAAGCTACCTTGGGGGCTTTCAGAGAGCCGTTATAAAGGCTCCATGGCGTTATAAGGCTTCCTACAATTCAATGGCTATTTGGCTAGAAATTTTCGCATTTTCACCGAAAAACTTAAAACAATTTTTATAGAAAACTTTCTATAGAACTTTTTACAGAACTTTTTATAGAACTTTTTATAGAAAGCCATTTTGCAAAAACGGAAAGCAGATTCGGAATCAGCGTGAAATTCTGCGTCGAATGGTTTATGGCTTAGCTCTTTTGGCTACATTCTAGCGTTGCCTTTCCCTTGTTAGAAAATGTTTCCTTAAAATGAAATAATAACAATCAAAACAATCAATCACTGCTTTTTTAGCAATCCCATCTGATACATTGGATCGAAAAACGGACGTCGAGATGGACTCCGATCTGGATGACATCGAATCACCGCTGGATCTCAGCAAGAAGCAAGCTCTCAAGCATCGACTTCCACAAAAAATTGATGTAAGGCCCTGGTCTTGATTTAAAATCAAATTTAAAACTCCAGAATCAATTCTAAATCAATTCTAAATAAGATTTTATAACGCTATTTTTAGAGAAACGATAACATTGATGTGGTGGGAAGCGGAAGCTCGTCAAACTCGTCAACCGATCCAAGTGAAAAGGCTTATTCAAGGTTGGTTTTTCAAAAAACTTTTAAATAGAAGAAATTTGATTTTAGTTCAAACAGTGATCCATGTGAAATCGATGGAAGCGCAAGCCGAAGTCCGCTTTGTTTAAAGAGAAACTATTCTCAAGTGAGTCTCGGGTTTTAAACATATACTGGGTTGGTGAATTGAAAACTGATACTTTGTACAGATTATTGTCCTAATATGGACTGAATAATGATTTAAAGTGGTATCGGGTACAATGATCACTCATCACCGGATAGAAATATTGGGTTGGTGAATTGAAAACTGCGGGCTATTGTTATAAGTGACATTTTGAGCACTTTATTCAAAAGAAACCCATTTTGGTGTCAATGGAAAAGTTGTAGAGAATCAAAAATCAAGCTTATATCCAAATTTTCAGAACGATTCAAAAACTGGTTTTGAAGAAATGCGAAATTTACGAATTTTCACAAAACCAGCAACAAAACTTGCATTTTAAGCGAAACTACTAAGTGTATCTTTTTGGAAATTTAGCTATAAGCCTAATTTTTGATTCTCTACAACTTTTCTATTGACACCAAAATGGGTTTCTCTTGAAGAAAGTGCTCAAACTGGGATCACCAGTCTCCATCTCCAGTCCTCGATTTTTGAGTCTCACACTTGTCTCACACACAAACCAAAATCCTACTACGAAAGAGGAATTCGCAAATTGCCTGTAAAATGGGCAGAAGTCGTCAATAACAATGAAAATTATTTGGAATGAATTTATGGTTTTATGTTGAATCAATTTTAGTTCAAATTTTAGTTCAAATTCCGGCAGCTTTCAATTCATCAACCCAATACATCTAATTAGATAGATTAATAATCGAATTTAAATAGAAAATATACATTTTAGAGTTATTTTTGGCTTAAAAACAAGTTCTCGAATTTAAGGTTGATCTCGAGGCAGCCGTGAGCGATATTCGAGCTGGTAAACTGGGAACGAGAAGAGCAAGTGTGGTGGGGGTTTTTTGAAATAAAATAAAGAGCCTAGACGTTAAAGATGTTGCTTTTGAAATTAGGAATTGTTATGCAAGAGATTAGTGTACATAAAACTTGTTTAGGTTTACGGTATTCCCCGATCAACCCTTCGCAATAAAATCTACAAATTGGAAGCTTCCGGAGAGCCGATAACCCGGAATCCGATTCGGAGAAAGCACCATTTGGCGAATTTGAAAAGGTTTCTAATATAAGAAGTCAAAAACAAAGAAATGCTAGCAAGGTCTTATAAAATAAGAAATAGAAAAAACAAACAAATTCTAGCAATTCTGATCATCGAAAGTTTTAGAAATATGCGGAAAACCCCGGATTGCTCGGCGAGTTCATCGCGTAGTGGGAGTGAGGAGAATTCGGACAATTCAGATGTAGGTTTTTAGAAGAAATCAAAGCAAAACAAGAGCAAAAAGAACAAAAAACAACAATAAACAACAAAAACAACAAAAACCAACAAAAAAAACCAACAAAAAACAACAAAAAAAGCAACTTTAGTTTGATCTTTTAACAATTCAACATCAATTTTTAGCTCTCGAAGAAAGGCTTTTCAACAACGGGAAGCACATCGGATGTCTCGAGTCAATCGGATGATTGGACAAAGAATTTTTGGCAGAATTTTGTCGCACAGCAGGTAGATTCTTTTAAGATTATTTACAGAAAGTTTAGATTAGTTTAAAATCAATTTGTGAAGAAGTTTTTTTTAGAATATCCAAGCTTCTCTACAAAAAGCTCTGCCTTTGCCAAGAAAAGAGCCGTTATTGGAGCCGAAAATGAGCGCCGAGTGGAAAAGATCGAGGCCAAAGAGAGGACAATACAGGTGAGTCGAGAACAACTTAGTTTGATAACAATAAATCAATTGATTAGAAGTTAGATTACTGTAGAAATGATTTATCTTATTAATTTTAGAAAGTACGACAAAGAGGCGCTTGAAAAAGCGGTGAGAAGCGTTCGACTTGGGGAGATGTCCGTGCATAGAGCCGGCAGCTTTTATGGAGTACCACACTCAACACTCGAGTACAAGGTGGGCAAAATATCAATCAAATCAATCAAATCAATCAAATCAAATCAATCAACTCAATCAACTTAATCAACTCAATCAAATCAATCAAATCAATCAAATCAATCAAATCAATCAAATCAATCAAATCAATCAAATCAATCAAATCAATCAAATCAATCAAATCAATCAAATCAATCAAATCAATCAAATATCAATTATGAAATAGCTATCAATGCACAGAAAATTTTAGAACAAGTAGAGCAAATGCTTAAAAAAGTGGCCAAATTAAACATAGCCCTTTGTTTTAGGAGAACCATCTTACGTAGAGTTTTATAAAACGTGTCAATCGCAATCTTGACTTATGACTTCTTTTTGGTAGATTAACTCCCAAACGCCAACTTCAACCTTAATATATTAAGTGTTATATAAAGTATTGAAGCGCTTAATCTTGGCTACATTTATCAGTTAAAAGTTTCCCGATTGAAGATATACAACTCATTTTACAAGCTCTTGAACGAGTTGATCCCTCTTGCTCTCAAGCTTTAAGTTCAACTCTAGTAAGTTATATAAAATATTGAAGCCCTTAACCTTGGCTACAATAATCTATTGAAAGTTTCCCGATTCGAGATATACAACTCATTTTACAAGCTCTTGAATGAGTACTAGTTGATCCTTCTCCGGCACGATCAGAGAGATCAACTAGTACTCATTCAAGAGCTTGTAAAACGAGTTGTATATCTCGAATCGGGAAACTTTTAATGGATAAATATAGCCAAGAGTATGGGCTTCAATATTTTATACAACATTTAACAAATTAGGGTTGAACTTGGCACTTGTAACCTAATCTACCAAAAAGAAGTGACCGTAAATACTGAAAACCCTGTACTAACTCTCCATTGCTATTCTAATAGCAAAGCTACACAAAACAATGCCTTTTTAAGTCCTGTAAACTCTTCTAAATCAATAACTTTATGTGATATGCGTCTTAGCCAAAACATTTCACTGATCATAGTGTTTAGAAGGGTTTTAAACCTCTTTGAATCGAAATTCTTGTGTTTCGAACAATCCTAAGCTTTTCTAGTATTAAAAGAGTCTAGATTTAAAGTGATTAATCGTGAACTTAATCTAATAATCAAGCTATTTTGAGCAATATAATAAATCTCTTGTTTCAGGTAAAGGAACGAAACCTTTTGCGTCCAAAGCCGGTCTCCTCAAATCAGTCAAGAGATGAGAAAGATGAGATGATCGAGGAATCAATTCATCAAGATTCCACAACTGATGACACAACATCACCCACAGATTAATCTCAATGTCATTGTTTACGTGTTTGTTTAGAGATTTCAAGAAGAAGTCCGTAAAAGCACCGTTTTTCGTAAAAATTATTTTGTATTTGTGTAATTTGTACTCAGAAATGGAAACTCATCTGTCCCGGGGCACTAAATTTTTCGGATCTTTACGGTTATCGGGGAGGGAGATTTTGCAGTCCAATTTTAGATAGATTTTTGTTGATAACTTTTGATAAGACAAATAGTTTCTGAAAGCTGACGTTCTAAGCTATTTAAATCTTATTAAAACTTCTTAATCGGACAAGTTTAAGGTGCTTAAAAATGAGCTGCAAGTTGACCAAAAACTTGGCCAACTTGCAAGGAAGAGGGAGGGAGGTAAGTTTTTTGACCAACTTGCAGCTCATCTTTAAGCATCTTAAACTTGTCAGATCTGAAAATTTTAACAAGATTTAGATAGCTTAAAACGTCAACTTTCAGAAACTATTTGTCTCATCAAAAGTTATTAACAAAAAACTATTTAAAATCGGGCTGCAAGTTGACTAACATTCGCCCCCTCCCGAGAATCGCTCGACCGCCCGCCCCACCGTTAATCGTTAAACGTAAAGCACCCGTTTCCATTCTTAAGCACAAAGTACAAAGCTGAATAGCTTTACCTTAGTCTTATAATAAATTCAGTACACCAGAAGCCAATAGTTTAGATTTTTGAGGAAATTTCTGTTGTTAGAAATTTGAGTGGCTCGATTTCAGTGGCTTACTCAAATTTAGTCATAAACGAAAAGTTTTTACCCGTTTTTCATTTCTTTTATAAACTCTGTGCATATTTTTTTTTTGTTTATAAGTGTTTGTTCTTGAGAAATTTGCAATATTTAGTGCAATTAGTAATCGTTTTGCGTTTTGCGTTTTGCAATTAGTCGTTTTGCGTCTAGTATCTACCCAAAATTCACTTCTCAGTCATAACTAGCGTTTCTTTTCGTTGATCTACGAAAAGCTACGAAAAAGCTTTACGAAAAAGCACTTATTTTAGAAAACTACCGTAATCCCGTGAAGTTCAATAGCCGAATTTAATGTCTTTTGATGAAAATCACTAATTTTGATCACTAGTTCTAGTTCACTAGGTCACTAGATCACTAGATCACTAGATCACTAGTTCTAGTTCACTAGATCTCTAGTTCTAGTTCACTAGATCACTAGTTCACTAGTTCACTAGTTCACTAGTTCTAGGTCACTAGATCACTAGATCACTAGTTCTAGGTCACTAGATCACTAGATCACTAGATCACTAGTTCTAGTTCACTAGATCACTAGATCACTAGATCACTAGTTCTAGGTCACTAGATCACTAGATCACTAGATCACTAGTTCTAGTTCACTAGATCACTAGATCACTAGATCACTAGTTCTAGGTCACTAGATCACTAGTTCTAGTTCACTAGATCACTAGTTCTAGTTCACTAGATCACTAGTTCTAGGTCACTAGATCACTAGATCACTAGATCACTAGTTCTAGTTCACTAGATCACTAGTTCTAGTTCACTAGTTCACTAGTTCTAGGTCACTAGATCACTAGATCACTAGATCACTAGTTCTAGTTCACTAGATCACTAGTTCACTATGAAATGAAAATTAAGCTGATTAAATGTAAACGAATGGCTTGATTACTGTAGTTTTGGTGCTAAAAATGCTGAGAGAAACGAATTCCGTCTTATTTTCTTCCATTTTTTGTTTTATCCTTTTGTTTACCTTGGTTTACCTTGGTTTACCTTGATTCTAATCATTTCCGAGAATCACCATATCATTTTTTTACTGTTTTTTATCCATTTTGAGTCATTTTCTGTACAAGTTTTGGTTAAATCTTGAAAATAAATCTTGTTTTAAACTAAAACTGTTTTGTTTTAAACTTTATACAAAATTTTAACGATAATCAATATCTAAAATCACTTTTTCTTCTTAGCAAAACAACAAATATGACCAATGTAAGCGATGAGAATGGCGAATTCGATGAAAGTGATACAGCTGACACCCATTAAAACGCCGAGCAAACCACCCAATTGACCGATGAATTGATTGAACTGAAAGAAAGCTTGCTTTCAAATGCTTTGATATCACACTATGACACTTATTGTCTTACTTATTACTTCAATATTAAACCAATCAATCAAAATTGAATGAAAAGCATTAGATAAACGTTAGCATTGTAAGATTAGGATGAAGATTCGATTAGAATAAAGATTTGATTAGAATGGGTCAACGTTCGACTATACGGAATGGGCTCCCGCTCAGCCGGATAGAGCGGGAGCCCATTCCGTATCTGGCTAAGCGAGCCGACCTTTTGTTTAAATAAACTTTTTGTTTTCAATTCTCTTTACAAACTTTACGAATGGACAAAAGGTCGGCTCGCTTAGCCAGATTTGATATCAGACAGATCTTTCTCTATTGTGCAAAAATTGGCTCTAGTTGAAAAGAAAGACCGGACTCCCCTCCCAAACATCCCCGCAACAGAAGGACAATTAGGGCCTTTAGTGGCTAAAAATGAAATTAAATGTAACCAGATTAAATGTAATGATCCTAATAAACTTTTTGTTTTCAATTCTCTTTACAAACTTTACGAATGGACAAAAGGTCGGCTCGCTTAGCCAGATTTGATATCAGACAGATCTTTCTCTATTGTGCAAAAATTGGCTCTAGTTGAAAAGAAAAGACCGGACTCAGATGAGAAATCCGATCGAGACACCAGTTTGCCGTAAGCTGAAAGAAAACTGAAAAGAAGTCTTATGACTAACTAGGATTATTCAGAAGGGATCTACATCGACCAGCTCCTTGTTCACTAAATGAAAAATGATTAACTAAATAAATACTTGTTGTGTTATAATCCAAAGATTTCTTGGCTCTGAAAGGGGTTTCCTTCAAAAAGAGCTCTTTCAAAATGGTATTACAGGTGTTTTCATTGATTGAATTTTAATTGAAGTGCTTTTGAATTATGTGCAAGAAATATGATCGTGAATTTCTCTTTATTAAACAAGAAAAAAGATTATTACATTATTATTCTGAATTTTACTATCATAAGTTTGTTATATAATTCTTGAGGCTTTGTTTGCAAGTTTCATTGAGAAATGAATAACAAGAAGAAAAGAAGAAAAAGTACAAGTTTGCATTAAGGTTTCACTGAGACACAATGACATTTTCAATCAGAGTGGTCGTCCCGAATTTCAAGGTTTCCCGTTGCACAGCACATTGATCGTAGGCGGCCCGATAGTATGAATATTCCCAGGGGGCCAAAGGTACATTTTGTCCTTCTCGAATCACCAAATAAACCATCGAACTCGTGTTACAGTGCTTAGTCTCATAATAATGGAGCACATCTTCAAAGAACATGGGAGTTCCGGGCGCTGACGCCATAGCGGCCGGTGGCTGTCGACACGAGCTGCGTGCAATCCGATAGTTCTTTGGTGTAGTTTTTTCCGAGGTTAAAGTCCGTTGAGCATCCATACCACGTCTATAATATCCACCAATAGCTAGGCTGCTGTTGCAGTCACTGAACAAGTCTGGCTTGAATGCATCGACGACCGACACGAAGAAGAAGCCCGTATAGTTGGCTTTTAGCTGAGTGAACAGCTTCTCGACAATCAAATCATTATTGTTGGGGCTATTGTCGATGATCGATCGGGCCAATGTTTGCATCGATGATTGCCATTCATTCCGATAGCGTTCTCGGGTGGCCACGATTTTTGAGAGAATTGCCCGAAGGACCTGCATGAAGTCTTCTTTCATCGTCTTTTGTGTGGCCACTGGATACAGCGCCCCACACGAACTCCCAGTAATCGTCAGCCATTTCAAGAGATTCTCCAACCATTCATCGATGATTACGAATGTTTTCTCGTTGGTCTGTGGGCTCTTGAACGAATCGAGAATTGATGTGTTGCCATTCAGCTGCTCCAGAAAAGACGATGCTAATTGGATTGGCGGATCCGTCGTGCACCTGAAAATTGTAACAAATTGTAATAAAAAGTCGTTCTTGTCGTCTAAGAGAAATACAATCGAGTTCAACGAAGCACAAAGGACCGACCAAAGCCTTCATTATTATCAATGAGCCCACTTAGAATAAGTTTTCCAATCCCAAGAAGCGCCCATGAAATCTTTGAACTGACCAGTCTCGAAACGCCCGCAAGTTGTGGTCGGCGTCAGTGTTCCAGAGCTTCTGCAATAGGTAAGCGCCATCTTCATTCTTGTCGGAAATGTGAGCCCGGAAATCGTTCAAGTCTCTTCGGCGCAAGACCTCGTTGACACGGAGCTTCAAACTTGTGAATTCATCGAGCATCATTTCACGAAGCTCTTTGATGAGAATCTTCATTTCATCGGGAGAATTCAACGAGATAGAGGTGTTGAGAACCACCATCGGTGGGGCGATGGCAGAGAAAAGTTCCCGAAATTCTTTTAGTTTCTCTTCCAAGTAAGCAGGCCCAATCTTCTGAAAAATAGCGGTGTTTCATCAGAATCTTTTAGATGGTGAGTTTTAGGGCTACAAAGAACCGCAACAAAGACTACAGTTTTAAGGCTACAAAGAACCGCAATTGCATCTTTTAGTGCGGTGCTTTTTGTTAAATAGCAAACTCACAAAAAGAAACTCTTAGAAAAGCCAAGGAAAATAATGGTAACATTTAGACTACAAATAACTACAAATTGCATCGACACTCACCTCGAGATAGGGCCTTTTTGGATCAAAGTTCGACTGGGTGAATGCTTTTTTGATGACTTCTTTCATTTCGACTCGTCTCATCTATGAATCAATCAAGTCAATTCATATAAATACGGTGAAACCTCTTTAGTAGGTAACGGACGGGATTCTAAAAAGCTACGGACTAAATAGTTGGCTGCTAAAGAGGTTCCACCGTATCAAAAAACCTCGAAATTCAAATCGACATCCATGACCACTTTGCCGATTTCGAGGTGACCGAGGCGAAGCTCTGAGATGTGGGACTCATGGGGACGGGTGTCGTTACTCGAATCAACGCTGCAGAGGAGAACTTTGTTGTTAGATTAGAGAATGTGGATATTGCTGGAGTTAGAGGGCTTGCCTAATTTACAATAGCATCTATATACAATAATCTACAATAGTTTTGCCTAATCTAGAATTGCCCTCACAGGCTCGGTAATGCGAACTTTCTATTGTTGCTAAACCTTGATCAAACCTTTTCTTCAACAAATGCGTTTCGTTTCCAGCCGATTTGAGGCAAATCATCTGGCCGATCGACAGTTTTTCGCAGCTAATCGAAGGATTCAATGCCACGAATTCCTCTTCGTTCAGCGAATTGAGTATTTGGATCGCTTTACAGGTGTCTCCTTCTTTCACATGATATGAGAAATCACAGTGAGCTCTGGTAGATGCGAAGAAAAGCAATATGGAATACAACAGGAAGATGCCGTCCATTTTGGGACTATTTGTGCTTTACAAGCCAAAGGAGTTCTGAGGAAACCGCGATGAGAGCTCTCTTTTAAATGTTAGAGAATTTGGTCGTCCCAAACAACGGAAGAGTGTAATAGATTGGTCCTTTCAATTGACTCATTCTATTTGTTTTCATTAACATGGTGCAACTTAAAGTTTGACTGATTGAATCACTTTTTGATGGGAACAGAATGGAACTCTTTTTTTGAGTTCTCCAGTTGAACAGCTGCTCTGCCCGATTTCACTGAGGTTTCTCGTCAACAACTTTCGGATTCCTCAAAGGTTCACTGTGAAGACCAAGGGTATAATGCAATCAAAGTGAGTTTGAGTTGAGAAACCTTTTAATATGCAAAATAATGATAGTCGCTATTGCACAAACAAAGGATTTGCAAATCTCTGCGCTGAACACAAAGCAAAGGACTCCTCTATTTTTCAAAAAATGACTTGTTAGCAGCAAACATAATATAGAAAAACGTCGGAGGGAAGTGTTCTCTTTCTGGATTATCCGCAAAAATAGGCACCGTTTTCTAATTTGCCTAATCCCGTACCGTAGAATTTGGTAATTTGTAATTGGTAATGGTTTCTGCGCTTTTAAGGAACAGACGGTCACAGCCAAACAACTTTTTAATGGCTAATTAGTGATCTAATTAGTGATCTGATTAGTGCTACTTGTATTATGTTTATCTGATAAATTTATCGCTTCTGGGAGAATTGATTACAAAATTTAAAAAAAAACCTTGAGTGAGCCTTTTGAGATTTCACTAAAGGTGTTCTCTGAAAATTTGAGAAGGCGGTGGTTTTTTTTTACACAATTTACAACCCAACACTAACATTTACACAATTTACACATTCCTGTTGAACATTTGAACAATTCCTTTTCGTTTTAATGCTCTATCGCTACGATCTTCACCTCGCGAAAACAAAGAGGGCCATTGAAATGAACATCTACATCAGTCATCTACATTCAGTCATCCACATCGTTCGTGGTTATTACGTTCTGCAGAGGTTGATTCTCCACTTTGCTGATCTTAAGATTTTGGTACTTGTATCTAATAAATTTATCGCTTCTGGGAGAATTGATTACAAAGTTGTGCCCAAAAAAGCCTTGAGTGAACCTTTTGAGATTTCCCTTTAGACCATAAGAATAAGGACCAAACAAACGGTGGTTACACTTTTTCTCTAGTGAATCGATTCGACCAATCTCTTCGATTTATGATGTCAACAGAAATAAGAAAGTAAATAATCACGCTGTTATTTCTAGAAAATTGATGTGTAAATCAGAAGCCACATGATGAAAAACACTCTATTTCCCCTTTGCCACCACGGCCGCCACCTCCGACGCCCAATATGAGGGCAGATGGGCGTATGGATTGGGAGTCCGGAGGTTTGTGATGAAGACACCACTCGCATGCTTTGCGATGGCCGCATTCACGTCGGGGGTCATCTGAAAATGAGAAAAAGCTCAGTGGCGATCTGTTAGTTACAACAAATCACTGCCGATTTTATCAGACAAACAAGTCTTTTCGCTCTTTTTCCGACTTCCTTTTAAAACCAACGAATGCACCAATTGAACTACGGTTTGTTTCATTAGAAAGGCTAATCATTTTTCTGCAAAATAACATTGGAATGGGTTTCAAATGTCTTATGTCTGCATTTTTTGGGGCCGTGAAGTCGGGTAGTCAAAAAAGACGACGGCTCGATGATGCGATTCAGGGACTTTAGCTAAGGAAACCTATCTTGGTGTGAATAGATAAAAGATAGAGCACAAAAAGTTTCGTATATAGCCAAATTTTCAGAGAAATCGATTCCGCCAATTTTTTCGTAGGGGTTTTTATAGATTTTTACGAAAAATCCGTTTTCACATTTGGATTTGCTTCAAAACGGATCTAAATTGCCAGAAAAAAGAGGGAAAATTGACCAATAAACCCTTTTTATTTGGAGGAAACCTTAGATAAATGGGGTGAATTTTTTGATTCTTAAATGGAAATATGAAAAAGGGCGAAAAGTTGTTTGCCTTGTTTGCCAACTCAAAATCTTCGAATATCTACGAATGCGAGTATGAATACGAATACGAATACGAATCTACGAATACGAATATGAATCTACGAATACTGAAATCTGTTACCACGTTTATTTTTCTGCTTACAAAAGAGTAGGAAATTCGAGAAAGCGATCGAAGCACAGTGTTCACCGTCGCATTGTAAACGATGTGAATGAAGCGATTTGGCGAGTAATTTCCCCATCCATGGGAGTGCTCGATAGGCCGCGTAGTTGGCCTGCCGATTCTCGTAGACGACAAAGCGATCGGCCACCGGGGTTTTCACATAAATTTCGGGAATATTGGTGCCCGGGTTGTTGATCACCTACAGTATATTGTAGCTTTTATGTTTAGCTGCCCAAACCTCATAATTTGTCGATTTTGCTTTGAATCTCAAATCTCAAAAGCATCCCACAGCACAAAATCCAAAAGGAAGGAGATGAAAACAGAAAATTGAATAGAGATTCCTTTTCGACTTTGATTTCACAAATCGAGATGTTCTTTCCGAGTCAAACTCTTCGTTTCCTCTACGCGGCGACCTTCAATCTATCCCTTCTATTCACAAGCGCCTACTTGATTCTGGTAATCTATTTTTTTTGACGTTTCGAAAGTCTTTAGTGACAAAGAATTCTGGTCACTCAATTGATTCGTGAAGAGATTGTAATGCATATTGAAAGATTTCTCAACTCAAACTCACTTTGAGTTGAGAAACCTTATACCCTTGGCTATACCCTTGGCTTTCACAGTGAACCTTTAAGGAATCGGAAAGTTGTTGACGAGAAACCTCAATGAAATCGGGCAGAGCTGTTCAACTGGAGAACTCAAAAAAAGAGTTCCATTCTGTTCCCATCAAAAAGTGATTCAATCAGTCAAACTTTAAGTTGCACCATGTTAATGAAAACAAATAGAATGAGTCAATTGAAAGGACCAATCTATTACACTCTTCCGTTGTTTGGGACGACCAAATTCTATAACATTTAAAAGAGAGCTCTCATCGCGGTTTTCTCAGAACTCCTTTGGCTTGTAAAGCACAAATAGTCCCAAAATGGACGGCATCTTCCTGTTGTATTCCATATTGCTTTTCTTCGCATCTACCAGAGCTCACTGTGATTTCTCATATCATGTGAAAGAAGGAGACACCTGTAAAGCGATCCAAATACTCAATTCGCTGAACGAAGAGGAATTCGTGGCACTGAATCCTTCGATTAGCTGCGAAAAACTGTCGATCGGCCAGATGATTTGCCTCAAATCGGCTGGAAACGAAACGCATTTGTTGAAGAAAAGGTTTGGTCAAGGTTTAGCAACAATAGAAAGTTCGCATTACCGAGCCTGTGAGGGCAATTCTAGATTAGGCAAAACTATTGTAGATTATTGTATATAGATGCTATGCTAGAGATTATTGTATATATTGTAAATTAGGCAAGCCCTCTAACTCCAGTAATATCGACATTCTCTAATCTAACAACAAAGTTCTCCTCTGCAGCGTTGATTCGAGTAACGACACCCGTCCCCATGAGTCCCACATCTCAGAGCTTCGCCTCGGTCACCTCGAAATCGGCAAAGTGGTCATGGATGTCGATTTGAACTTCGAGGTTTTTTGATACGGTGGAACCTCTTTAGCAGCCAACTATTTAGTCCGTAGCTTTTTAGAATCTCGTCCGTTACCTACTAAAGAGGTTTCACCGTATTTATATGAATTGACTTGATTGATTCATAGATGAGACGAGTCGAAATGAAAGAAGTCATCAAAAAAGCATTCACCCAGTTGAATTTTGATCCAAAAAGGCCCTATCTCGAGGTGAGTGTCTATGCAATTTGTAGTTATTTGTAGTCTAAATGTTACCATTATTTTCCTTAGCTTTTCTAAGAGTTTCTTCTTGTGAGTTTGCTATTTAACAAAAAGCACCGCACTAAAAGCTGCAATTGCGGTTCTTTGTAGCCTTAAAACTGTAGTCTTTGTTGCGGTTCTTTGTAGCCCTAAAACTCACCATCTAAAAGATTCTGATGAAACACCGCTATTTTTCAGAAGATTGGGCCTGCTTACTTGGAAGAGAAACTAAAAGAATTTCGGGAACTTTTCTCTGCCATCGCCCCACCGATGGTGGTTCTCAACACCTCTATCTCGTTGAATTCTCCCGATGAAATGAAGATTCTCATCAAAGAGCTTCGTGAAATGATGCTCGATGAATTCACAAGTTTGAAGCTCCGTGTCAACGAGGTCTTGCGCCGAAGAGACTTGAACGATTTCCGGGCTCACATTTCCGACAAGAATGAAGATGGCGCTTACCTATTGCAGAAGCTCTGGAACACTGACGCCGACCACAACTTGCGGGCGTTTCGAGACTGGTCAGTTCAAAGATTTCATTACTAGTTCCTGGGATTAGAAAACTTATTCTAAGTGGGCTCATTGATAATAATGAAGGCTTTGGTCGGTCCTTTGTGCTTCGTTGAATCTAAACTCGATTGTATTTCTGTTAGACGACAAGAACGACTTTTTATTACAATTTGTTACAATTTTCAGGTGCACTACGGATCCGCCAATCCAATTAGCGTCGTCTTTCCTGGACCAGCTGAATGGCAACACCTCAATTCTCGATTCGTTCAAGAGCCCACAGACCAACGAGAAAACATTCGTAATCATCGATGAATGGTTGGAGAATCTCTTGAAATGGCTGACGATTACTGGGAGTTCGTGTGGGGCGCTGTATCCAGTGGCCACACAAAAGACGATGAAAGAAGACTTCATGCAGGTCCTTCG